AAGAATCCTGAGACTCGGACTGGAAAACTATATCTAATGATGTAATAAAATTAACACTGAAGTAAGAATGGGTCTCCTCTATCCAATGCCTATTCTGTTACATTATGTTTTTTACATTTTATTTTACTTATCCCACCACCATGGCCTCCGTGTTTTAGTTGTTATTATTTTTAATCACAAAGGAGCTTTTCTTAAAAATCACTTCCCAGTTCTCTAAGTGATTTACTACGTAGACGTTTTCCTTCTCTCCTGGAGGATGAAACAGTTTGTTTTCAGAGACATGACTATTCTATACATTAAATGCATTAGTTTGGGGCTCTGATTGGACTCTAATGGATGCTGTGAAACCCAGAACAGAGTTGAATATTCACTGGGAACATATTATATACAGGTCTCTATAGAAAAAGCAGATCAAGTTACTGACTTCTATGTCCTGAAATAAAAATGATGTTTCTGTCGCCCTCCTGGTAGCCAAACATATTTTGCCTCTCCTAACTTAACAATCTCCTGGTGAACAAACATGGCATGAGAAAGTAATCAAGGCTATACAGTTCAACATACACAATCTGAGTCCCTCAAGTACTTTGCATAGGAAAATGGAAATGTTTTATATGAGGCAGGCTCCTGGGTAGCTGCAGGTATGTTACACAAGAAGGACAATCTATTAATAGGGATATGAGAGTGAGATCTTTAAGATCAGATATTGCTTCTTAGTACATTGGGAATATAGCAGATGCTCAATAAACATTTGTTTAAATAAAGAACATAAAATTACAATGCATATTGTAAAAAATATAATGCAGTACATAAGGGGCAAATCAGATATGGGGAAGTCAGGGGAGATTTTGTGAAACAAGAGCCATAGCAAATGAATCTCAAAAAGAGTTGAACAGAGACATGACGATGGAAAAAGGGTAAAGCTATATTCACTCTGTTAAGATGTACCTTGAGTTAAAAAGTCTAGTATCACACTATCTTGGATATATAGCAGGACATTGTCAGGAGCTCAGAATAGACCTAGAAAATAAGTGTTTAAAGATAATCAGAGTTGAAAGTAAATGGCTTGAGGAAGAGCAGAGAGAGGATATTTGCCTGGCTGGCATGTCTCAGTAGTTGAGCATTGATCTATGAACCAGAAGGTCATGGCTCATTTCCCAGTCAGGGCTTATGCCTGGGTTGTGGGCTTGATCCCCAGTGTGGGGGGGTATAGGAGGCAGCCAATCAACGATTCTCTCTCATCATTGCTGTTTCTATCTCTATCTCTTTCTTCCTCTCTGAAATCAATAAAAATACATATTTTTTAAAGTGAGGTGTTTTTCCTGATCTAACCATGAGGCAGGCAATTTATTTTCCTTTCATTTCTATTCTGTCCACAAGCAACAAGAAGACCTATATCATGATTACATATCCAGGAGCTTCCATATTGATTAGTGAGATCATATCAAATCTTCTCTACTGAGGGGCCTGAAGTGATGTCATTCTCAGATATTATAATCAGTTCCACAAGAGCTAGACCAATGCTTCTTAAACTTTCATGTGTATATAAATGACCAGCAGACCTTGATGAACTGCACATTTGACTCGTAAAATCTAGGGTGGGTCTTGAGAGTCTGCATTCCTAAAAAGTTCCCAAGTAATGTTAATGTGCTTTAATGTTGCTGTTAATGTGGTCTGTGGACCACACCTTGAGTAGCAAGGGTCTAGACCAGTGGGTAACTCTAGCTATCCATTAGCATCGATTGGGAAGCTTTTACAAAATACCTGTGCCAGGTTTCACTCCAGGACCAATTAAATCAGAATGTCTAGAGATGTGGCCTAAGCATTTTTATGCTTTAAAAACTCTACAGGTGTTCCTAATATGCTGTAACATATTGTCAGGAGAAGAGGAAAATAGAGAAGAGAGGGGGAGATAGCAAGAGAGAAATTATGGATGATAGATAGATAGATAGATGATAGATAGATAGATAGATAGATAGATAGATAGATAGATAGATAGAGAAATATCTTTTCTCACTCTAACTCAGTGATTCTCAAACTACCTGAGGATTTTATTAAAATAAGTTTCTGACTCAATTGTCCTGGAGTAAAGAAAATATTCTGCAGTTGAAAAAAAGCTAGTTTTCAAACCACATTTTGATTATCAAGAGACAAAATCAGTGGTTCCCAAACATTACTGCATCTGGGATCATTTAAAACTATCTATATATGTCTTCCACCCTGATACTCTGATGTAATTGGTATGGGGTGCAACCTACACACAAGGATGACCACAAAGTACGCCAGATGATTCTGCTGTGCAGCGAAGTTTGTGAGCCACTGCAAAGCACAAATTCTATCAAAGCTGTTCCAACTGTGCACCAACCAACCCAAACCTTTGGAGCTATGCTAATTACCCTGGCTTGAAGATCACTGAAATTAGATGGTGACTTGATTGCTAGGGCAACTAATTTATGTTCCTCTCTTCTTTTCCCTGGATGATAGGAAGGGATGCAAAGCAATACGGAAAGAAACAAAAGAAAATTGATCTTAGTTGTAAATGACTGAATTTCGACTTGCTAGAAACTCTGGACCAGTGCTCAAAGAAAAATTTTCAAATGCTAGAGGTAACATGAAGGTTGTCAAATGCAAGTGACAGGAGTCAATAATAATTGAGCCATTAGATTTTTTCTGAGATAAAGAACTCTTGAACCCTCAACTGAATCATGCCATAATATTCTTCTAATCTATACTAAAAGAGCTTCCAGTAGGAAAAATAATTTTATGTACTTACATTTCAGAATGTCTTCCTAGAAATAGATTTTAATCTGTTGGGGGGAGAAGTTTGTACATGGCAGCACAAAGTATAAAGGATGGACCAATTTGAATGGAACACACATCTTTTAATGTACTTATAAAAATTTTAAGTTAGCTGCAATGCTTAGCTGTTCCAATTGCATCAAAAATAAAGCCAATATGTAAAAAATTTATTCATTCCTAATGTGGTCACTACTAGCTACTTCCTTTGCAAAGGAAACTCAAGTGCTAACATGCATAAAAGCATTTATTATGTGTTTTGCGTAAGGCAATTATGGTGCCTCTGTAGAATAACCATAATATTGACTTGGGACAAAATTCTTCATTGCCTTTTGGTCAATGCTGTGACTCATGCCTGTATCGCTGTTATCTGAAGAGCTATAGAAGTTCTGGCCTGATTCTTCTCAGATATATTTCTTAGATTCTTTCTCCTTTCAAAACTCCCAAGACTGGCAGAATATCTAGAATTCTACTACTGTCAATTTGAGACATAAACCACCTGGAATTTTGAGTGACATGTAATATATTTTATGAGCAAGAAAGGAAAAAAATATTGTAAGAGATCTATCATATTTATGATGGACCAGGAATAAGTATATAAATTGGAAGCCAAACATTACCAAGGATCATTGCCAAAACACAAACATAAAAAACAAGTTAATAACCAAATAGCAGGGGTCATTTAAGCACACAAAAAACTATTTCATAGTAAAATAATATTCTCTTTGTCTGTCATTAACTTTATGTTCCAGAAATACTTAATCTACTGGAATATTACAGACTTCTCCATTAAAATGGGTTCTATAATAGCTAATAAATATATGCTTCATTATACTTGTATTTGTATATGTAGATATATAAGTATTTGGATGTTCTTATATATATGTACATCACTGTTAGTCATTTAAGTGCCCATCAGTGAATCAAAACAATCACTTTTCTAAAATAAAAATTGCCAGTTAGTCTGAATTCATGTTGATCCAGTTCTTTTCATACTGTAAATACTTACCTAGGTTCAAATACTTAACTCTGCTATTTAAATACTTAAAATACTTTCTTCAACATAGGTCTGCTATCATTCAACATGCTGGTTTTATTAATCAGCCCAGAAATAGGGAATCCACCACCATCCCCTGATCCTGAGCACATTAGCACAATGACTGACATTCCTGGTTTAAAAATAAAACCTTGTCTCAAATATAGCTTCTCCAGTACTTGGTAATGAATATAGTTTCATAAAAGTTGACATCATTTCTTGTGATTTCACTGGAATCAAGTAACTCCAATATTCCTACTGGGTATCTGACCACATCACTCATGGCTATTGCAATCTTGTGAGTGTTTGAAGAAGGAGGAAGAGGAGGAGAAAAAAGAAACCTGCATAGATGGGGTTAAACCCAAAGAATATCCATTCTCACAGTTGTAATAGCCATTTTGTTTTTGTGTATTAAATATGCCATCCGAAGTTGGTTTTTATAGTCCCTTTCCCAGTTAGTATGTGCACATCATACAGAATTGCTTAGGATGAGAATATTAAGACATACATGTCCACAACTAGTAAATTCATCGTGTTTGGGAGTCAAGCAGTACTCCCAGCACACTGTTCTTCTTAGAGGTCAGCTCTAATGCACACTGTTTCAAATAGAAGCAATTTATCTGCTGATATATATATATATATATATATATATATATATATATATATATATTGAAAATGCAGTAGGATGTGGTCATACACACCCAAAAATACCATCTTCCTGGGGTGGGGGTGGAGAAATCCAAACATTTTTATAGCAATGCATTATTGGATATCAGATACAGACCTATGCCTGTCAGCAGTACTAAAGCAGATTAATTATATTTATTCGAGCTCATCGATTCCATAGAAAAGAAATGCTTTACCAACACATCTCTCCCACCAGGTAAAGACGCTCCCCCCCACCCCCCACCCCCCAAAAAATAAATAATAACAACTCGTCACACTTCACTAAGCAACAACGGAGTATTAAGCACTGTCTTCCGAGCTGTGGGAATTAAAAAGAAGTGGCCCTCCTGCCAGGATTCCCTGGGTGCTGCAACGGACATAGCATCTCCTCCTACCGACCTAGTATGATGCTCGCTCCCCAAGCACTGCAGTCCCCTCGCTGAGGACCGCCTTGGCCACACGCACATGCAGCAGAAAGTCCCCCCGGAAGGGGACAGAGACATACCTTTGCTCTCCATTTCGGTCCCCTTTGGGTGCTGGGAAGTTCAATGGAAGTTGGCCGGAAGATGTGGGCCCGCTTCAGATTCCCAAACCTGGGAAGCCAATCTGATGATTTCGCCAGTACTTCCTTCCTTTCCCTCAGGCTTCCTGAAAGATGGGATTTCTTAAACCTTGAAGCTGCAGTCAGCCACCAAAGGACACTAAGCAGCAGGCAGCAGCAGATTGCCTCTATGAGGGATAGACTGCAGCGCACAACTGGCATTGAAATGCATGCACGGTGCCCGCTCAGATGATTTTTACCTGGATCTGGAAGCTGCAAGCAGGAGCTGTCCTCCGAGCTTGGTGCTGCAGGTGTAGTGACAGATCATCCCACTTTGCTTTCTGGATGTACGATTTGCATAGGCTCCGGCACGCATGCGCAGGACATCCTCCCTCCCCTTTTCACCGCCTCCTGCTCCCCGCCCCCTTCATTCCTCTCCCCAATACCTTCCCTAGCCATCCCTGCCGAATTGCTGAAGCTTTTGGGCACAGGGAAGCAATGTGAAAAATAAAGGCCGGACTGGATTTTCCTTTGCAAGCCAGAAATGGATGGGATTGGGATTGTGTCCTGGTTTCATATTTTTCCAGGATGGATTACAGAAACCTTAGAAGAGACTATGGTCCATTAGCTGGGTCCAGCTTCATTCAGACAGCAGAAAGGGGGAAAGGAAGAGAAGGGATTTAGGAATCCTATTTGAGGGGCATCATTTGGGTTTCTCTCCTTACTGCTGCAGTCTTTCCAATTGAAGGCTTTCCCCCTGGAGGACCTGCTTCCCCCACGGGATTTATATTTCTCCTTGCATTCCTGTTCTTGGTGTTTGTGTGTGTGTGTGTGTGTGTGTGTGTGTGTGTGTGTGTGTGTGTGTGTGTGTGTTTCAGGGGGTGGGAATGGGAGTAGTCCTGGAGCTAATAAAGGTTAGTATTCCCCCACTTCTTTGCTACTCAGACTTTAATTTCTTTGCCTCCCTGAGATCCCCTTTGCCTCCATCCCAAAACATCCATTAACAGCCACTGAGGCTTGTAAAGTTCTCCAAACAATGATACTGAGGATACTTAGAGGTGGGGCTCTTTTTAGCTTTTTTCCAATAATCAACCAAAAAGTAGTCTCCAAAGGTGGGGAGGCACCTTATTGATGTACTAAGTACTTTAAAACTGTACACATCATCGTTTTATGAAGGCGCAGAGGAGAGCTTTTCCTGTATAAGGAAAAGATGTAAAGCAGAAATTCCTAAAGTGCCACTTTCCTATCAGAGTATTTTAAAAGCCACACTATATTTAGCTTATTTGTAAAATGTGTAAGAGGAAATAAATGCGTCTTCACTTACTTTTTTTCTTTCAATAGTCCAAATTCTTCTGAGAGAATATTCTCTCCTTGAGAATAATAGTCTTAGTCTCAGGCATAAAAAACAAATCTAGAAAACTCTGTTGTCTGGAATGGCTAAGGAGAGAGATGTGCAGATTAATCACACCTCAGGTTCCACAGGGATCCCTCCATAGTAGACTTCTAATCCCAATTTTCAAAACACTGAAATACAATAAAATGTACTCCCAACAAGAAACCTGAGGCTGACTAAATTCAGTGTTCTGGTGATTCAGAAGGCATTCGGGATTTTTCAATGTCTGAAGGCCTTGATTACAAATATTAATCATGACACTTCAACCAGACTGGGACATTTATTAGTGGAGGGCTCCTGCTGATGAACTCCACTAATGAGGCTCATTCAGCAAAGCCTACCTCCATGCAGCACCGAGGAATTAAAACACCGGAGCCGGAGCGTGGAATTACAGAGGCTACAACCTAAGGTCTGCTCACCTTTGGGCTCTCATACTGCATACCAAAGTAAATATTTGGAAAAAATCACAAAACTCAGGATTCTTTAAGTTTTTACAGGTTTAGAAAGAAGGCTAAGAGTGAGATTAAAGTTGTTCCTCAAGAAATAGACTAGCCTGGCCAGTGTTGCTCAGTGGGAGAGCATAGACCTATGGACCCGGAAGTCACGGTTTGGTTTCTGGTCAGGGCACATGCCCGGGTTGTGGACTCAATCCGCAATGTGGGGCATGGAGAAGGCAGCTGATCAATGGTTCTTTCTCATCATTGGTATTTCTGTCTCCCTGTTCCTGTACCTTCCTTTCTGAAATAAATAAAATATGTATTTTTAAATATAAAAAATAGCCTATTAATTCCTTAAACTGATACTTTTCTTCTCACTCTCACAATCTGGTAAAATCTTATGATTAATATACATATATATGAAGACAGGTGGCTGAAGAGAAAGATGGTCAGAAAAAGAAAAAAACAGAAACATCGATGGTTAGAAAAATATATATACCCCAAAACACACATTAGAGAGATTCATCAACTAAGAGGTGAGGAAGAGGAGAACAAAGAAAAGGGGACTAGGTAGGTGACCGTTGGACTCAGAAAGAGGCAAATGACAAAAATTATCAGAGCAGAATGTGTGTAGATGTGTTAGGGACAGCATTATGGCTGGTTTTATGTTCTTATTTTTCCTTATCTTCTTTTCTATAGTGTGCAAATACTTTCTGTCTAAAAAATAATTATATTAAAGCAACTACTTAGATGATTTCTCAAAAAAGAGAGAACAATATCATATTTTCTTGGGATAAATATATTCTGCTCCTAACACTGTACTCCATTATATCCTCTTCTCCTCTCGAAAGTTTTAGAAAAGGGGATACATTTAGAGCCCATTACATAACCCTTAATATTTTACAGCTGGAGAGACAGAGAAGATATTGACTTGCATAAGTCACAAAGCGGAGCAGAACCAGGCTCAGAACCCAAAGGTCCTGCCTTACAGGCGGAGGTGATCCAGCTCCTCCTGGATGATTTCTTATGTAACCACCTCCCCATTGTCTACAATGAACAAGAACAGGGAGAGCCTCCTAGTTTGTGAATTTTTATGATTTTTATTCATAATTTAAAAATCCAGATACTTTATTAAATAGCAAATGAATTAAATTGTAATATAAAATCTGTGATCTGACTTTAAAGATCTTTCCATTATCTGTTCCAGACTATCTTTCAAGTCTTTTCCAAGCTTACTCCTAGACAATACTTGTCATTATCCTAAACAAAGCTCAAGATTTTTCTTTTCTACTTTTTCTTACATAGTCATCCTTAGAATATCTTCACCTCTAACACAAATGTCTACATATTCAAACATTATATTTTATTCAAGATTCAACTAAAATTACAATCTAACTCCTACAATCTTCCCTGATCCTTTTAATCAGAAAATGTTCTCTATTAAAAATAACAATATTGCTATTTCTTTACCTCTCTTACATCACCTATTACTTTCTATTTTGTACTATAATTATCTATGTGCATCTTACTCCTGTTCTCCATCCTTACTAAAACTGGGTTCCTGTATTCTATATTTTTATAGTGGATAGAATGTCCTGCATATAGGAAACATTAATAAATATTTGATGTATCATAATATTTAGCATACATGTTTTGTGTAGATGATATTGACTATAGGTACTATAATAACAAGTAGTGATGATGATAATAATATTTAGCTAGCACTACTAATAGCTACGTGCAAGCCACTATTATAAGAATTCCAAATGTTTTAATTAATTTTATTTTTATAAAGTTCTATGAGGTTAGTACTATTATTATCTGTATTTTAAAGATGACTTAAAATAAGAAAATAGACTAGTAGCCCAGTAATTTGTTATTTCAAAATGCCAAGATTAGGTAGGATTAGACCCCTTGTATTTTGGGTGTCCTCTTTCACCATCAAAAACTGTCCTTTTTACAGCAATAAATTATATGGCCATATATTTCTATTATACAGTTGAATCAGAGTAGCAATTCCAACACTGACACTCCAGCCTAATTCTGGTTAACCCATGTAATTGATTGGTTATGTGTGCATATCCAGATTCTCTAGCTTTGGTTCCTACTGGAATGTACAAAAAATAATATAAATAAGTGGGAATAATAAACAACAATGAGTTACATTATAATTAACAATTTAAAGAGTCTCAATAATATGTCAAATCAATTACAAGCCCATATTTTTTTTTCATACTCTCACTCTGTTTTTCCAGAAGTAACAAATATAAATTGAAAGGAATTTGTGACCTTTTCTTTGTGCTCAATTATTTTCTTACTATTCATCTTGTATAATTGGATAATCTGTTGTAAAGAAAATAACAGTTGACTATTAAGAACTGCTTTTGGTGATGACAGTAAGATCAACTCACCACCACAAATGAATATTCACTGTAGGACAGAAGAAGTGATTAACTCACTGTCTCTACTGGGGTTGTCAGTTCCAAGCCATCATCAGAATGTAAGATCCACAAAGACAAAAGCCAGGTCCATTTGTTCACTGTTGTATTTCTGGCTTCTAGTATGTGGAGCTTAGAAGGTTTTATTTAATAGTTGGTGAGTTTAATGAAATAAAGCTTTTTTCATGGTTGCAAATCCAGTTTATTTGGCAAATGGGAGGCATCAATCAACAATCCTGATGACATAAACGGGATTATAAGTGACCTGTAAGAAGCAGAAGATATCAAGAGAAAATTAACAAAAGTGTGCAGTTTTTACTGTTGGGCAAAACATAAATTATCAGCTCTAGGTTCAAGTATCTCTTAGGCAGAGTCCTACATGGACCATGCCTTCCCAAAGAGTCTAGGTCAGGAGTTTGGATGAAATTCGTCATAAAAGAAGGAAGAATAAAGTAGATGACAAAATTTTCAATGGAAAGAAGATGATGAGTGAACATGGCAAAGCCATATGAAAGTAACAATGCTGAGATTAGGTAGTGTCTCTCAGAAAGCCAACTTATCTTTATTACATACTACATGTGCGGTTTTTATTCTCTTCCTTGAGTAAAAGTAAAATAACAATCTTCCTAAGAAGAAAATGGCAAGTGATAAAGTTTCAATAGAAATTATACAGGATGCAGGTATGCAATCCATGTAAGGAATAGTCTGT